CAAATGCAGAGATCTCTGTATGCAATTCTTCTCCTCTGAATCATCCAACAAGGTAATTTTGTATTGTCTTACATGACTTTTAATGAATAAACTAGACCCTGACATGGTTTGACTCGTTGAAAATTGCATGTACTGGCTTACTATAATCGACGAAACGAAAAATAACGGGAATCTGTATTCAACGAAACGAATTAAACGACCTCTTTAGATTTACAATAGKTTTTGAAAGACACAGATAAAGACACGTACAGTAAACATCACGCACGGCAATGCATGTGACTCAATCTGGCTTAAAGCCAACGAGCTTACAAACCTCATCGTTCAAACTGAAAGTCTTTTTTTACACCAGCCTTTATTACCAAACCAATATCCTAATCCAAACTTTAGACATATGAAAGTTTTGGAATAACAAAAATCTCAAAGAACTTTAGCTCCATTTCGGCGATTATAGTTACCTACGCAGCTTATTGTAATCGACGGGATATCTCTGTAGATCAGGCATTTATAACTTATTAAATTAGTATTATAAATTTACACTTTGGTACAATTTTCTGAACATAATGGATAACAGTGAGTGAAAAAGGGAGAGGTCTCGTTTCGTTTCGCCGATGATTACAGTAGGCTGTGTGCATGTGTAACTATAATCGCCGACATAGAGCTAATTCTTTGAGATTTGAGCTCTTTTGTTATACCAAAACATGCAAACCGATATCGAACTGATACTTCGTAGCTCTGTGAAGCCGCAACGTAGCTGTCTGATTCTGAGTTGCTTGGCTCAAATTTTCCAATTTGATAAGGGATTCTGTCTCTTCTGGAAAAAAAGGAATCAATGCTATTCAAGCAGGAGTATTCCTATAGATGAAGATTGAAGTGATCATGGTTTTATGGATTTGGTTAACTTCGGGGTGTTTTATTATGAATAGGTGCGATGATGATGTCTTTCGTAAAGAGATCGGAGGGCGATCGGGAGATCCCGAAGGCACGAGTAACAAGGGATTTCTTGATATTTGCAGATACAACGATAGTCTCATTTCGTTTTTGCACGTGTGAAACTTACTATATGTCTTCTACAAGAACAAAATATTCTGTTAAGCCTTTATGTATTGACTGTGAACATGGACTAGGAAGCAAACATTTGTCAACATCTTTGAAATAACCAAATTTCACAGTGATACGAAAATTTAATCAAAATAAGAAAGTAAAAATATATTTATAATATTTTACGGACATTTCTATTGAAATCTAACATTTCCTGCATATCAAATGACATGACTCTGAAAATCTGTGACCTTTTAAGAATGAATAAATCAAAGTCAGGTTGTATTAATAGAAACGGTCTTTATCTCATAGTTAAAATCGTCCAAACCATCGAGTAAACCAGTTTGTGTTAGAGGTATGAAATTTTCTTCAATATTCMAACAAACTGTTAAATGATTTTTGTGATGAGAAAATCTTTATTTAACATAAGGTCCACCCGGAACACCAGGCCCACAAGGTCCAAAAGGTSCAAGTGGACAAAGAGGAAGACGTGGTAAACGAGGATTTCGAGGATCTCCTGGAAAACGAGGTCCTCCTGGAGGACCAGGCCCTAAAGGACCGAGGGGAGAGCCAGGAACAGCGCTCTCTGGAAACGCATCAACTCTTATCCATTCGCTTGGTGGGTACTTGACGAGAACGAAATCAAC